ATATACACACACACTATATAGGCAGCGAAACAGTGGTCTTTAGCTGGTGGTAAATGATAAAACAACCAATAACAACTGGTGGGAAAGCGGGAAAAAAACCATAAACATAACTGTAGAAGACATATAAGCACGGTATGGAACGAAAGCAGTATATATACAGTGAACATGCATACCTAGCTCTGTGTTTGGCCTAACTTTTTCTTATCAATTAACTTGCTAAGAAGCGATTTGAGTTGAGTAAAGCAATCGCCCGATAAGCATTGAAAATCCCCGTAGGTTTCTAGAGTATTATTGATTAGGAGCAACATTCTGAATGCGAGTCGTGTATATTTATTTTTAGAAACAAGTTATCATCAGACATTGGTAATGTATGTGGTACTACTAGTAACCATAAAAACAAACTTGAACGTGCTTTCCTTTGCGTACCAGTGAGTTTTGTATATATGAGTATTACTAAGAAAATAGTGTTATTATATCGGTAAAAGTTTATAACTATATTATTTAAATACCGCTGAAAAGAACGTTTAATAAAAGTCAGTATTACTTACTGTATTCGGCGATTCAAATGTTATGATTACCCGTTTCTAGCCGCAGCCAACTAATATGACCTTCAATATACCTGATCTTTAAACGCTACATACGGTCGGTATGCACGATGTACACCTTACATAATTAGATCCCTAGAAAAAAACAACGTAGTATACTTACTTGTTTACTTCAGATTTATTCGATAATAGAGTACTGGGAGATTTCTCGTGTTAAGTAGGATATCTATTACCGTAATATCCGATCTAGTCCTGAGAAACAAGTATTGTTTCAGTAATTAAATGTACATTTTCGGTAAAGTTTCGATAGCGATGTATAAGCGTTTCGATATGATTAGGGACTTCGAAAAAACCATTAAATTTGCCCGTTTAAAGTTCCGCGTCTGAATCTATGTACAACTGACAGCGTTCTCTGAGAGTCGCTGACAGCAAAATAGGCTGACCATCGAGGGACCACGCAAGCATATTTAATATATATAGGCAAGCTTTGGGAAGCGTTGACATACATGTTCGTTGCACTAATTTTCATTATTAATATTAAATTATAAAACATAATAGATAAAAAATACAAGGTATACTGACAACCGTAAGAACTTCAGTAGGTGTTAGACTTGTTCAGTAGACGAAGGTATGAAAATTATAGTTTTCAACTTGCGCCAACGTAAGTAACAACTTTATTGCGTAATTGCATATCGCACATGATTTTTCAACTCTGCACCTTTAAAACGAAAATCAAAAAAAGGGCTAAGGACCTTTCTCTTGACAACTCTAACACACGTCCTGCCGTGCCTCTAGTTCACAAGAGGCCTAGTCCTCACGGAACTTAAGCATCGCTTTTATAGTAATTAAACTGTGAAGCAGTTACTGAACCGGCCAAGAAAATTATTAGTAGCAATATTAGCACTTTGAAATGTACACAGTTCTACGGTTTACTATGAAAGTCATTAGTACGCCTAAACTAGCATAGCGTTGTAGCACAAACATGAAAGTGCTCGACAAAACTCGTTGATCGCTGAATAACTGCAAAGTTTAGTGCATATTGTTACTGCATACACTCCGTGGTAGGATCAGGCCTAGGCCGTCCAGTGACCGCATGTTTGAATTGGAGCACCTGTTGGCTGTTATTCGTTAGGGTATTTATTTTATAAGGCACCGTGCCATTATCGTTAACCAGTGTCGTACGGATCAGTTTTCCTACAATATATTGCCTTGCTCGAAAAATAATGGTCCACGGTGTTTTTACCGAACAAGACAGACAGCGTTGTATTTAAATTCTAGAAACAACATGTCGTGGACGTGTTGTTGCACTGCTGTGCCAACTCTCAAGCTCAATCTGATTTCGTATCGACGAAAATTGCTAGATCTGATATGTAATGATCAGTAATAGTTTCAGGATCCTCTACGATGTGGAGATTTCTACAAGGAATTTTATGCGCCAGTTGTCGCAAAAAAGAGTAGTAATACGCCGATGCGGGCTTTCGAGCATATGGTGCGTGCCAAAAACAAAATGCTTACAGGACAACTTTAACTAGATTGCCACGTGCGGCCCGGCATTGCCGTGGAACGGAGTAACCCTTCTCTGTTCTACAGGTTTTTTTTTCTCTGGGATAACCTAATGTTTTCTGGTACGAGTTAGCGGCATCTCTTGTCGTTATTTATTCTCTTCTTTGCTTTCATACTCACATAAAAGTACCAACTTTTGTCATCTGTAACTACTCTGTGTAGGAATCTATCGTTACTTCTGAGCATTGTTCAACGCCAGGCAAGATGATACTGAGAAACAGTAAGAACCCGTGTTATTTTGTACTTTCCACTCAAGTTGAGGGCCACCCAGACTCCTACTTTTGAGTAATACCATCGAGTAGAGATGTTATACGACAGCCGTTTATCTGGCCGGCCAAGCAATTCACAAATTGCTTCCCTTCCTCAAACGTGCTTTCATGCTGTCTTTAATCTCCAATGACCAACTGGGCAAAATACATCGTTCAGTTTCAAGATGCAGTTAGTTGTTGCGCCTATCAAACCACTCCGAGTAGTCCGTCCCGTCCCGAACCGTCCATCCCGGCCCAGTTCCAGTGCTCTTATTTCGGTAAAAAACCAAATAAAGTAAATGCACTTTTTCAACGACAACATCTATGTATGAGCCTAGAGTGAAATAAAATGTTCCCGTTCATCACGCCACGAAGTTAAAATGCATTTATAAAGAAAAAGATTGCTTTAGAAATGATGAATAGAATGGATCACTAAAAAGCCATCCTCGTAAGAGGATCACTCGTAAAAGGTCTCCATTACTCTTCGTCGAGAGATACTTGAATACTACCTATAGCAAAGAGAATATATAGCCGTAAGGCAGGAGCTGCCGGTTTAGGTCTGTGGCCGCTGTTATTATCAACGAGATGGACGTAAATAGCTGCATCAGTATATGGGTTGCCATTAAAGTAGAAACGAAAGTATGGTCATTCGCCAGAGCTTAAAAGTAATTTGGAGTTTTATTGAAAAAAAAAAAACGTAATAGCACAACTTTCTACACCCTTCACGAACCCCTGTTAACAGTTATTTAATAAAACGGTTCTAACCATAATACGTAAAATGATTTAAAAATTATATAATTGCTAAAAATTAAATATAGGTCTGATTTTGATTTATGGACTTTTGCTATTTCTCTGGTGACGCAGCGATTTTATAACAAGTGATTTTTACATCCCTCCATTGAAACTGAAGTGTTTCAGTCTCTGTAACAATTTAGTTTCAACTTGAGTTGGTTTTCAGAAGCTATTCGGGTGGTGTAATATTCGGGTTATACGGCAGTTGTATGTTCTTTCAATTTTTGCCACGTAATTAAAGATGTATGTGGTCTGGTATTGCCGCAGGAGGACAACTTTTCTTATTAAAACCAAATTGAAATTGGTAAACCAAAATAAAACTGATTCCGGTACGTTTCGGCAGAGTCTTGCATAAGGAAACATTATCCAAAAGATTCTTTTGCGTCAATCTGAGTAGCATCCAGACATGAAGTTTTCTAGCGCGTTTTCTTGTAAAACTGTTTCGTAGTGGATGTTCAATTCTTTGGTAATATCATGGCCGTTCACGTGTTCGGCTTCCGCAATAAGATGGGTGAAGTTACTATTAAACTTCACCTGTAATTAATTATTCATTACGAAGGTGACTTTCCGGAACGGTAGCAACAAAACCGTCTTTGGGCCGCTTTCTCCGGTAATGTATTTTAACCGTAAAAAGTGAAATATTTTGTAGGTCTAGACAGTTAAACGAATCAATATACTTTAGATGAGAATTGCCTGTTCCAGGTTTCTAGAATGTTTTCTAGAAAATATTTCTTAGAAAAGCCGGTTTTGTAGACCTACAATAACTAACAATATTATTGTTAGTTATTGTAGTTCGAGTTTGAAATTGCAAAAACTATTCAATGTAGGAAGCTTATATATCTTAGCTCAACCTGAACATCCTGTGTGTTCTAACTAAACTTACTAACACAAATTTCAAACTCTGAAGCAGAAAGAAGTTTGTATATAGATACAGAATCTTTTACACACATTTCTGCAGTTTCTAATTTCTGCAGAATATCATTGTCTTAACAAAATGCAGAGCTTGCCGGTTCTATTTTTCCGGAACCCAAATGTTTACAAGAATTTCTAAAAATTAGCGTGACTTATCCTACGATTGACGGATCCAGTTGCCCAGTCGGCTAACGATGGATAGTAATGGCCTAAATGCAAAGAGTAACCTGCACTAATTAATGCGGGGACATAAGAAACGTGCTATAGTGTAAAAAGCAATTAGAACACGGCGGTCGAGCAGCTAAACAAATAAAGTTAGATAACGAAAACAATATCACCATTGGATTGCTGCCATAAGGTACTGAAATTAGAAAACAAGTACTACAACGACTCTAATAAAAGACAGTGGTTTACTGAACAGGTTAAAGAACTGCAAAAAGACACTGCAGTGAGTCAGCAAAGCCAGTTATAGCAGATTAGTACAATAACCGTAGTGAGAAGTCCGGATTCCGCGCCCGAACTCAAACCGGTCACGGGAACTCGCTTTTGTGCCAGATTCGAAGATCTGACAGGTCATTGTTAACTACTGTCTGATGTGTATCTGTAGTGCGGTATGCGAAAAGCGATGTGTGAACAAATTACTTCGAACGATCATGGGTCAGACTGGGCGGATGTTGCAAATTCTAGTGCTGTCCTGTGCCACATATGTCGGGGGTGGCAAGAGCCACTCAGTTTCGTTATCGGTAATAATCCGTACGTATCAATACCATCTAATACGCAACTTTAACATATCTAGATTTTGTTTAGTCGGCGTTGTGTTAGCGCAGCAGAACAGATCTCAGTAAGATTCTAGCGCGATTTGAGCAGTATAATTAGAAATTTTCGATACAGCAAGAAAATGGCAGACATGTAGTATCATACTGAAATTCTGTTTATATCTGTCATGCCCTTCGACTGATTATGATATCATACGCTGGGTCCTGCTTCTTCACAAATTGATCCGACGACATCTAATTTAATTAGGTTAACATTAAAAGTTTGTAGTCATGACTGCAGGAGAATTTCACGCTCATTTATCCACATACATGACAACATATACATCTTAATTAGAGTAGTGAGCGGTTACTGTCGGACAGGACATGATCATATACGAGATGCGACGACGGCACGAAGAAGTCGGCTTTGCGAAACAAGGAAATGCGAAGTTGGAAAAACGCTCGAGATGGAAGCTAGGGCCCTTTGAAGGTTCAAAGAGCTACTTTAACCACAAAATGAAATTCGACCTCACATAAACGAAGACTACCTGATACGCTCTCTGCGAACGTGTGTAACGTTGAAAAAACGTTCAATTTAATGAGGAACTTTTACCGTTGTCGCTTCATTTTGCCTTTCAAGTTCGCTCCGATCGGAATGCTGGTTCGACACGTAGAACACCCCTACAAGCTGAAAGTGGTACTCGTTCCTCTTAAAAGAAACCCGATTAATGGCTCTGTTTTGCGACTGGACACCCGAGTGAGGATATGAATGGCCCTATGCACATACAAATTTTATGTGTTTTCGCATTTAATTTAGTTTAAATTCAATCGGATCACCTATACGGATTGTACTACGTACTCTATTTGAAAGGACCGAACTGGTGGTATTTTCTATATCCTGAGGTGATATAGGTAACAACTCATAAATGAAAATTAAAAATGCTTTCTTATTCTGACCAAAAAGCCTTAAAATACTTTGGCTAAAAGAATCTAAATCATAAGTTGTATATAAAATGCTTATTCTTTCTTCTCGTCAGATCTGAAATCGCATTCAGTTACATATAGCAAACATGAAGCCTCTGCACGAACCGATTGCACTAGAAATCGTTCACAAAGAGATTAAAAATAAAGAAAGCGTTATAGCATAGTAGTTACGATGCGTTTGTTGATGATAATTACCATGAATACATCTAGTGGCATTACGCTACGAGAGTGGTGAACGTACAGCTTTACGCGGAACAATATAGAAGCCAGCCAATTAAGGGAATATTCGCCTGCGTGCACCTTCACAGGACCCCAAATGCGACTGCACGAATCTGTTCAGAAAACGTGTGAGTTCTCACTCAACGGAACAAATCAATTATTTCTACGCAGGTATATACGTAGCCAACGCTGATGTGCCTCAAAAAGCTTTAATCACTCAAATCACCTCAAGCCATCGTCTGGAATCTGCTAAATTTCGGAATACTAGGTACTGCTAAAAATACCACGAAAAAATGATAAAGGTACGTAAAACGTTCACGCTATAATTGGCCATAATTCTGCAAATGATTTCCCCTAAGCTTTTAAAATCGTCCATTTCTAAGAGCATACCTTCTTTGATCGCGAAATCGCTGCGGCAATGGATGACTGAGTCTAAAAATATCCTTACGCTAAGAGCCGTTAAATCATATCAATGTTTACATGTTTTCTCTGACAGTTAGATGGTACTGCCGATCGCAGGACTACACGCGTATAATGTACCTTTTACTTTACGGTATTCCTACTAGAAGCGCATGATTAGTTTTATCCCACATGAAAAATATTATGCCAAAGAACCATGTTGTTGAGCGAGTTTAACATTGCAGTATTTAAAAGGCATGTCCAAACCTGATACATTATTTTATACATTCGTTATTCAAAAGTCTACACGCGAAAGTTTTAACATCATCCGCCCACTATACATTCTTATATATACATTTATATATAGAATTGCCTAAAATGAGACTCAACAACCTTTCCACTTAGCTGCGATACGGATTTAGAAGTTATCTGTGTCAAAAACGGGTATTCTCCGCAGGAAAATTCGCGTAGGTCGTACTTGAGCGACACCTGAATTATGAAAATTCTGCGAAAAAATCAAATACTTTGTACTAACAGATTATAGACAAATGGCTTCTGTCAAAAAAAAAGTCTTTCGAAGTGCGCTCTTTGTACCAACTGAGCCGAAAATGTATCGACAATTTGGCCCTTTATTATACCTCAGCCAAACCGTAATTATTTATTTCAAAGTAGCCTCTATCCGATTTAGTGGACATGTAGCACTATCTTTCTGATTGTCAAAACAGCTTAGAACCAAATCGCGCAATGATATTTCAACTCAACGTTTGTTTTTCTTGAAGCTTCTCAGTTCGCTCAAAGCTTTCCTTTTAGGTATTTTTAGCTCGAAAAAATAAAGTCCTAGTGGACTACGTCTCCTTAATACGGGGATTAAGCTAACACAGGCATCGGACTGTCCTTTTCAAGCTCACGCATCGTCGCGGTAAAAGATCCACACCTTATTTTTTCAGAATTCAGCCTTATTTTGGCTATTAAGCATCCTACAATTTCCTTAAAGCCTTTTCGTAAGATTGTTTACTACGAGTATACTGGAGCTCGACATCAATTTAATAATCAGCATAATATCGCAGTCCGAGACGGGAAGAACAACCTTAGTGTTTGTCCTGAATCTTGCCATCTACTTTGTTCTAGGCCTACCTTTGACGCTGCTTCGACAATTGTGCCTTATTCTTCAAGTCATACCCGAACAGTTGCGCTCCATTTCATATACCAGCAGCGTGGAGCAAACCTGGCTTCTCTTTAAACGGGTTAAGGTTCTTTCGAGTTTCGTCTGGCTGAAATTCAAGTCCTTCGGCGCAATCCCAGCCGCCCTGTCGCCGGGTCTCTGTCGGTCCTCCGAAACACCTCAGACATAGCTCGTTTTGATTCTTCTGCGAGCTTTTTAATATAATCTGTCAATTATCCAGCATGACGTATTTTATTCTTCCACTCGCTGTAACGAGTGGTTCACACAGATAGTCGCCCTCAAAACTCTCTCGTCTATATTCGAACGTATATGCAAATACTATCTTCTTATTAATAGTTTTTGATCAAAGCATCTACTTATAGATTAAGCCAATCCCACAAAATACCGTTTTGCCGTATCTAGTGCCGATGTGCAAGCAGAGCGTGGCGGACCCGCAAAATATGCCATGTGAAAAGAACTATATATTATCACATTCATATACTACGCAGTCAAAAAGATATCGATAAATCGCCCACATTTTATCGGTTGAAGATTAATCCGTAGCTGAGCTTGAGCCGCCACACTCGCTGAATTGTTTGTTAACTTCAGAGGCCCTGTAATAACTCACTAGGTAACGTACTGCTTGTTTTCTGATCTTAGGGACACGTTATAGTTTAGGTGGCATAGACACACGGTTGGTTTCGTGCTGGCATGAGCCAACCGTCTGATGGAATGCACGACGGCAATACTGGGCATGAAACTCGGAACAAACGAGCCCGAAATTCGGATAACTGAAGCGCGTGCGTCGCTCAAACGCTTATCTCGCAAAAGTTATTCTTAATCGCGTTTCGTACGTACACAATGATCATACACCAATCACACGATGTTTCTTGTATAACTTGTTTTCTGCGAAATAAAACTCCATACCTATGCTACTTCAGTCCAAAGCTAACCACCTGTAACTTCTTTTTCAAATGCCAAGAACGATCTGAGAAGAGATGGCTTCAGCACGATTGAAGCAAAGCAAGAGTAAACTTAGGTTCTATTTCTACGATTAAGTTCTAAATTACCATGATTAATTAGGTTACTTATGTGGGACATTTTGATTTAAAAGGGAAGCAAATGTATAATTTTTCCAGCCTACGGTATAACGGATTGTATCAACAAGTTGTGGCGTCGTCTTACAAAATTTGAAATTCGCGCCTTTTTACTGTAGTTCCCACGTGATTTGTTGACAACGTGCGTTTATCGAATGCGGATTGATATACGAAATAGATAGACGAAAATCCAGTCTTTATGAAGTGTAAGAAAAAGGCAAGTAAAGTGGATAAAAACTAGGAGCCCGTTCTATTCCCTATGCTATTTCTCTTGCTTGTAAGTTTTTAAACCCTATGTCATTAACGGTGTTCGAAAATCTGCAGTAGGATATTTACAACTTAAGCGTGCACATCAGATCTGTAAAGTTTACAAGAAAGGCTTCGTAACACTACTTTCAAATGTATACGGACAGCAAATGTGAAGTCAGTACAACGATTCTGAGTTCAATACAATGCTATAGAGAAAAACTCCATACATATACTTGTCACCGATTTTTGCATTACGCGTTGTAAGTTACTCGACTGCCCTACCCGCATTCACTCAATCAACAGCTCCTTGTTCGTGCGCTGTTTACAAACTTTTCCTATCGCATATTTCATGCATACTGTTGGGAACTTGTTTCAGTTAAGGTGCGTGATCGGCCACGGGTGCAGCTCAGGCAAAAACCTGCCGACATCGTACAGAAATATATATATAATTAATGTAGAAATAATGTCTTGTAGGTTTTACAACGTTACCGGGTTTTTTTATTGGGACATACGTTAACACTGAGTAGTTTATGAGTAGAAAATGTACTTATTTTCATTACTACCAGCTTCAATTCAACATAACACAAACGTCGGTCCATAACGAAAGAAACTGGCTACCCTTGCTTGCCTCTGTTTACCATATTGAAATAAAGTTGACGCAACTAAGAATTTCGTGACGTTACCGGACGCTATGCAGTATTAGTTAACCAACTTTAACGATACATGTACGATACATTCAGTAGATAAATACGAATGCATTATGTATTTATCTACAAAACATTTAGACTATTTAAATGTACATTGTGTGGTATCTTTTAGAAAAAAAAAAACCGAAATAAAATAGATGTGGTCTAGTTTGCATCACAAACCTTCACTTAATAGTATTATTAAACAATTTAATATTTATATTTAGCAACGACAAATTTTCGTTTGTATCTGGGAACGGAATTTCAGTGAACCTGATGGCAAAGGGCAAAGCATATCACAAAGTATTAGTGCCGTTCAAGCCTTCGGAACCTGACAATAACTCTTTTCAGCTCAGAGAGAAATCATCTGATGACTGTGTATTGTTGGACGATTGCGGTCCATCTGAAACCAGTAGCCAGGTTCAGTATAGATTAAGCATGGGAGACAAAGAAATTTCCCAAGGTAAAATTCTGTACGAAATAAACAACCTTTTAGTGAGGGTAGAATTCCCTCAAAGTAGCAGATTCAACAGTAAATGTGAAACGAACAATGCCATAAGAGGGGCATAAGAATAATAATTTCTGGGCAATTTATATACAGTAGTATTATAATACACTAAAACGGTTCGTTGGAGGCTTACTTGAACATTGCGTCCATAGCACTCACAGTTATGTGTCATATCTCATATCGTTACTACCTATCCATGTAGTACCGATTTCCAGCTCCCGTTTGAAGACTAGTTCCGAGGCATTTATCGTATTATAATGCAGATCTCAATTTCATAGCATTGTTAAGTATCAATATGTGCTGAATTGTGCGTGTATTTTATACTGCCCCTTAACAATACCTGTATTCTTGGTGCATACAGCAAACAAGTTCGTCATAAGCCCTTACATAAAATAGAAATAAGTAGGCTTGCTACGTTTAGTGGTTCAATTTTTAAATGTTATAACTAAGTTTATGCTTGATTGACAAAGTTGCTTTTGACTATAACAGTTTTCTCAGAATGGTTCTTAAAAGCCATCAAGCACGACGATAACGAGATTGAGTCTCAAGTGGTCGTTGGATGTTCCGAAAATAAGCCGAAGGCGGAAGAAGTTGCGCCATATGATATTTATACAAAAGAGGACATTGAATACTTAAATGACTATTTCGAAGAGCTGCAACGACAAAAGGAGGAAACAATAACGGCCTTAATAGATTCGGCTGAGCGCCGAAAAATTATTTCAGCTTCCGGTTCACCTTCATCAGATACCAGCCATGAAACGCGTGCTACGGACACAAAAATTGGTCAAGATCTCACTATTAAAGAACCAAAGATACGAATGATTTCCGAGGTAGCCAAGACAACCCCTGATCTTCGCGGTCCCGCAATTGAACAAATTTATATTGTCAACAAACAGGGTATTCCAATGCTACAGTTTGCTGTTCAGGTAACTAACAACAGGCCGCAACCTTTTCGCTAATGCTTTTAACGTATATTAAACAATTCAGACAACAAGTTGAATAATACTTACATATCCAACAAGAATAAATTTAGTACATAATAATGGATTAAAGCATTTTTAGATAGAAGGTGGAATGATGTGGCTTTTCAAATGCAAAACATCTAAACTGCCCGATCTTGTCCTCGTTGTGTGTGAATTTCTGTGCACGACAGGTGGAACTTGTAGAAAGTGCCCACAGTGTTATTTGTACAGTGCCCGCTGCCCGCGCCGCCGTAGAATCCGCTAAAGCGTCGACCTTTTCCTATACAGATTTGCTTTGTTTGGATTGTGATGTTATAAAGTGTACAAGACACAAGTGCAATAAGCCAGAGCTTCGAGTTATCAATTTACTGTCAGTACAGCCTGGCAGACTTGTCCTTGTAGCTTCACCGAAAGGTGAACTTATTCGTGGCATTATCGAAGTTGTCCACGGCTACCAGAAAGGAGTCGTTGGCGTTGGGGTTGGATATGTCGATGAACGTACGTTTTTTTTTCAGCATTGTAATATTCTAAATTACTTTATCAGTGATTTGTTTATATGCTTAGAAGCTATATTTGTACCATGACTTACACGATATAAGCTGGCGTTTTCTTATAGTGTTGTATGAATTAGATTGCGTGTCCAGTTGTAATTCCGTTCTAACAAAAAATCCATATTTCTGCTCGATGTTCCAGCGGGAGGTATGTATACTCAAACAGTGTTTGAGTGTCCAAACGAGATCGCTGTTATTCCTTACGCACTTATAAGAATGAAGCGTAGTAACGAAGCGGATGATAATGGCAGACCAGTAATGCTCCCAGTGGGTACTCACTTCGAACAACTACGCAAGGGTGAAATACGAAGCGTATTCTGTCACGCCATAGAAGGGAACACAGCATTTGGGTTCTTCGGTGACACTGTTGAGTAAAGCGGCCGACTACATTGTCTGGGTTAGTAGCATCGAACCTATATATATATATATAGGTTCGACGTTACCTGTAGTAATACATAATGTTATGTAAATTAATATCTTAAGTGTATCCCGAATGTGCAGGGTCTACTTATTTTCTGCAAAGACATCATGAGCTGAGACAAGAACAGTCGGGGTTTTCAGCGTTCCAACACGCTGTTACAAGTCGGCAACGCTCTATAATCAGCCTTCTCTCATTTGAATATATGGTAAATTAGTAAAAAAAAAAAAATAAAATATGTAAATTTGTGGTGCACAATTAAGGGATACATAAATCCCTTTCCTGTGCATCATACACTTGAATATGTTATTGACTTGTCGAATAATGTATACAGAATGGTCGCTGTTGGAGAGTGCTTACCACATTGTATATAGATATGAAATGTCTCTCATTTCGACGTACGTTGAGATATACGCTTAATTAAATATATCTATAGCTATTATATAAGTTTAAAGGAAGCTGATACAGAGACGCTGTATGACATGATCTTCTTTCAACGATTTATTCTATGCAAATGCATGTTTATGCTACATGTGAGATGAAGAGAGTTAATTAGTTATCTTTACCAAGTGCTTAGTTGTTGTTGTTGTTGTTGTTGTGTTAACTTGAGCCTGAAGGAAGGCATGTATCAGATCTTAGCGAACTGAATCTACCAATAGCGTGCAGCTTATTGCAGCAATTTTTTTCTGCATTGTTCTGACTTGAAAGGGGTAACGGAAACCGGGGTACCGTGTAAAACGCCAAGCGTTCGTAGTACTAAGTTCGTTCATAACAGTATACTAAACAAAATAAAGTTCCTTTTACATAATGAGGACTTCTCATCGTAGCAATACGGCAGATCGTAATCAACGTCCCAATACACGGAAGGCAAGTTCTTTGCGGACGCAGAGGACCGAAAGTCAACGACTGCCTTTCTAACACCCGATAGGCATCTCGAGGGGCCATAAGTGATTATCTGGGCTAACTCAGCTGAAGCATAACCGGTATTCAATTGATGCCTATCTAATCTCCATTGACACTTCATGGCTTCGCTACAGGAAATGCGCTGTCGTCCGCATAGCTAATAAACTCTTTCCTTGGCGTCGCGTACAAATTATTGCTGTAGATTGAAAGCGGAAAGGGGAGGCGTAAGACGCTTTGATTACATTCCGCAGTGTGAGGACTACTACTAAGCACGTTGTTACGAAGCTTTATAGCAGCTCAAACAACTTAATATAGAGGCTAGTTGAGCTTTCGCACGGAGTCGCATACTTTTCATCAGTACAAAGATATCAGTATGGTACTATCCGAGCGGTTAGCGTCTTAGTGTCGCTGTTGCGACATTTCCGATGAGTTTAAAACCAAATTAAGCGTCCTTTGCCTTACCGATATCTCAATGACAGCGACGTACTTTCTTCCGTGGCCTGTAATAAGTACACATTTTATGTACACCTTTTATACTTGACTTTGACGGTCACATGAATGCAACGTCAAATTTTCTTTTACGAATTGTTGTAGGTCTCAATTCTTTCTACCAATGCGACGACATCTGTAAATCCAGTTCTTCACGTGTTTTATGCAATAAGAGTGTACCAAACTGCAGTGGTATTTGGGGCTTGCTTGGCCATGCCGGCAATGTGTCGAAAAGTGTTTCCAGAGGGGGCGGGGAGGTAATCCATCGTCTGGCTAAGATTCTAAATCTCTCTGTTCGTTCTCCTTTGAATATCGTAATATCATCGGATCAACTTCGTTTGCATCATCTTACAGAGCGCAGCTGGATTCGAAGTTGCTGCAATTGCAGAATGATTGATTTTCGGGATGAAGCGCGTTTGTGGGGTTACTTAAGGCGAGGTTAAGTTGCACCTTAGCGGAACGTTCTCACTACGGGCATCCTGCTTGAAAAAGATGATGTTACTATGGGTGCATACGGTGATTGACTGACAAACTAACCGTTCGAGTAATCATCTTCAGACAAATTTAAGTGAATTGTGATGGGGTGATTGTGCTACATATAAAGCAGAAATCACCGAGCGTGCACTGCGTGCCGCCCAGGCAGAATTTGTCGTTTGTGACTTGTAGAGCTGATCATACAGTCGAACGACACGTGTTATTCAGGAACTACAAGAACACCCGGATTCGATTATGAATGCTAAAATATGCACGTGTCGCATATCGAAATTCTCTCAAGCCACTCGCACCCGTGTGCCGTGTGTATTTTGTTAGGGGGAGAACACTATATAAAACACGCGATGCATTTTCAAAGTTGACCGAGAAACGAGCAAATATGCCAAAAGGGTTCCATTTGTGGAAAAATTAACTATAACGTTAATTGCAGTGCTATAAAGTTTGGTGTATACAGTCACGCAGTCAATTTTATTATTCATAACGTAGTCATTTATTGGTAAGCCATTTGTTCTGTAGATCCAATGCTTTCACCAAGAGAAGCACTTCAGCTTGGCTACTCAATAAACCTAGGAAGTTTCAGGTTGACGGATAGCACTGTTGCAATTTTTCCAGTAGACGCAAATGCTGTCGGAACCTAGGCGATCGTGGAAGATGATGTGGATCTAGTGTTATCTATAGCTTTCTAGCACGAAGTATACGGACATTTGTTTCGTGATCTCTGAAATAGATTGCACCATCTTCGTAACTGTTCTAAGCTCTCACCTGTGTTCTACCGCGGAACGCGCAGTCAGATATTCACTGGTATTTTACTTGTTATTTTTTGTGGTGTCTACGGTGTCTTTCGACGTCGACCTATGAATTGACAGGGTCAGCAGGACAACAAATCATTCGAACAGGCCAAACGGAGTTGCACAAAACGGAATCACTCACGCAAAGAGTTTAATTATTTATTGAAAACTGCTATTTACTGTTATGTAACCGTGTAGTTCAATGGAATTAATAGAGTAGGCTCGCAGAAACTTATGCAATGTTAAAGCTTGGCCTAAAGATGACTCGGAACCTTTGATATCTCCTTCCTGTTTAAGGATCAGAAATCCTGCCAAAAACGAGTTTCCTTGATCTTGCCTATTCAGGTGTTTATTGATACTTTGTGGAAACAGTTGGTGAAATTGTTTGACAAGTTAATGCGTAGAAGTACTTATTATGTTCTTCCCCAGCACGGCGCGACGTAGAAGCACGCTTAACAGCTGAGGCTTGAAACGTTTTTAAGAGGGCTTAAAAAGCTTTCGGGCCTGGATACAGAGCATTTTACGGGTTTAAAACTTAAGAGAGTTATACACAAAGCCCAGAACATCACAATCCATGATCATTTGTTTGGGCACTGTCTTTTTAATGTTTGTCCTTCTAACACTGTCTGTATTCTTGATCTCCACATTTGTCGAGTACTCAGTAGTACGAAATTTAATAAATTTCGAGCTGAATCCGTCAAATCGAAATAAACATTCATCATTAACACTGACAAACACAAGCATCGGTGCTACTCTCTATGGTGCCAACATTGATTATAAAAAGAATGTGTGATGTTCACTAAAACACAGTTACCACAGCAGTGAAACTCGTTAGCTGCGTTTTCAAACTGTACTAGTTATCCATTGGATTCACGCCTTTTCTTGTTTCTGATCTTAGAAATTGTCTAGCTAGCATTTTACATACGACGCAAGCCTGAGACTTACTGATGTTAAAATTACCCCGTATAGTCACTTGAAGTTCAAACTTATTGAATCGAAGCTACCGAAAATTGTTTAATAACCTAGACCACGAATAGACTAGTCGAATTCATTTAGTTATCTATTCTAGTTGCCTTCATTGGCTCGGCTGTAGACTATCCAAAACGATTTTCTACTACGGTAACTTGGCGGTAACCTATTTAATCTACGCTATAGAACAGCCAGTGCAACACATGTTGTTTCTTCTAGTTCTCAAAATCCCTCGTGCGCGCTCGAATTTCAGTTTTCCGCTCATACATCCACAACCGTGTCGAAATTTTTCCAAATCAGAGCCCGCAGCCGCTGGTTGTTGTTGTGGAACAGGTTTTATTGCAGATTGCTCGTCGTAAATTTTGGCCTAAAAGCAAGATCGATATATAATGAGCCAAATTTAGAAAATTTATTGAATGCATCGGTTTAAAAAGTGGACAACGCGTTCGTGTTAATCGATGCTATCGAATCCTTCTTTGTTTTGTTTGTCAGTATCGGCAACGCTAAACTAATGAGCTATTTTATCTGGGTTAAGTGAGAGCAGTGAACGCAGCGTCCAATGTAATTTACCTGAGGCATTTCAGCAATTACACAAGAAGCGTAAGTAGTTCTTTAACTTAGCTCGTCAAATAGCGGCCGTTACCGAAAAGCAAGTACTCTTTAGATGAACAAATTCTCGGAAATATTTACGATAAGCTTACATTGAATTTTGAATAGCTATCCAAAAGCAGTTTCTAGTATACTCCATGCGAAACAATGGTTTCACACAAAAAACAAGAGTGATTTTTAAAATAACGTATTTCCGAGACAATTTCGTATATCAGCAACAGAAAAAAAAAACGTTACATTTCGTTACAAAGAAAGCAGAGCGAATGAAAAGGTCCAAAAGAGATTTGCAATCAATTTTCGCAATAGTAATGCCCTGTCATTCACTATATCCTGACTATATATATATATGTATAAATATACATGGTGCGCTCAAAGGTTTTTCTGAAAGGAATAGTACCTGAGATACGTATGCACACGCACACGCACGTTATTGAGAATACTTACTGAAGGACCCTTTTTCGATTTGCTTGTAGGCGGAGTAAGCTTCACGGATTCGCTTTGTGGTGCCTTTACGCTTGTTGTGGGGGCCTGCTTAGAGACAGGCTGGTCGTATGCTGTCACCGAATCCGTGACAGTGATCGAAATCTCACCAACTGAGGATTCCGGCCCATAGGACTTTGATGTCTGATCCTAAGGTCCCGTTTGTTATACGTCGATACATGATGTAGTCGATCATAATATTTGCAGTCGACCCAGGAGGGGCATTCAACAATCAATCAATTAATCGTGATTCATGTGCGCCTTTATTTAAACCAAAAGAAACAATCAAGTACAAAGAAGACGAACATATTAATATTGCACAAAATCAGATTATTTGTACATACTAATGAATTTTTTAATTATACGCTTTTATAAAAATTAAGCTTTTAGGACTTTCTATAGAAAATAGTTGAATAAACTGAGAAATGTAAAATTAGCATATCATTGGTACTCGGCTGCGAACTCCTCACCGATATTCATTTTTTAGGGAAACGGATCGTAACAGCGGAATTCCCCTATTCAGATCGATAGCTGCCAGCACTCCGTGGCCATTTCACGATGGTAAGAAACGACTTAAATTATGTTGCGACGGTTAACGTTTTAGCGCCACAAGGTCCGGCCTTTTGTCAAATTCTACACCACCATTTTTTCCTTAGTCACCATATAAAACTCATATAGCGTCATAACTATAAGCCATATAAAACTATATAAATCGTATATATACTTCCAAATTTTTCTAGTTGAAATCGAATATATTGACTGTATTTGACGTTGAGGTTCAATTTGGAAATTTGACTCAAAAGTTTTTCAAATACACGTTTGTTTCTGCGCGAAGATGACGCTGAAGGTAACAGATCTCAGAGACATTTGCCAAGCCAAGGGAATTCACAGAACCTTCTACGGACCTACACAGTGTGTCGAAACTTACCTAGAAACTCATTTAGTGCTCATCAATGTTTGATGTACTGACTGGTGATATTTATATATGTACGTAGACTGGCATATAGGTTTAAGTAAAAAGGAGCATTGTGCATATCTTATAATTGGTTTATTATTTTGTTTTTATTTGACAACTTTTTTTTCCGAATTGTCTATCGCCACTGCACGTACATAACGAAACATAAAATAACAAACATAAGCATCGTACTTAGAGGGAAACACGTGACAGAAGCATCTTGAACATTACCTTTACCACACCAGTGGAAAGCTCCATAGTGTCAGCCTCGACCTTCTGACGAAACAATAACACACTGTGTACCCACACCGCAATGGCTTGGCAAAGTCACTTCGTTTTCGCAGCGATTGGATGAAGTAGGCCAATAATTTCGGGTAAAATTTATACAGTCCACCAATGCGTACACGGCGTTAAGGCTGTGCCATTGTTGTCTAAGGGATCGAAGAGAAGCGGGTGAATCGAGAGAGATATTTCCGCTACCTAAAAAAGTTTTACCAAATTTACCACTGATGCAAATGAATATCTTCTTCACATGCCTTTTTACCTTGATTGGACCCTGGCAAGGACCTTTTTAAGTCGCACGCCTGAATTTATCACTTCGATTGATATCGCAGCAATCGGTCGTTGACGTGGACCTATCCGTATAGCTAACTTGTTGCTGATCTGTGTTAGAAGCGGTATTGCTAGTCTTGTAGGAGATTGTGACTCACGATACTAAATTAATTGTCCATAACCTAGAAGCGTATCATACACTGAAGTTCTCTCACGATAAGGCCACCCGTGTACTGAATAAAATTCAAAGAACCTGTAAATTGATTCAAGCGTCGGAAAAAACAAAGTCGAGCAGTACGAGTATCCAATACAAAAAGACTTTTCTATTCTTATCATGACCTATAGAACACTAACACTGCTGATTATTATTCTTTTAGCCAATTACGCCAAGATTGTTTTAAAATTCGACTTTAAACAGATGCACGTGCGTATTTTTCAGACAGTTTAGCACTGATCAATTAGTCGAGTGAGATTTATTTTGTTAGCTTCGTAGCGAAGTAGGCATAAGAAGACAAACCTCAATATAACAGAAAATTTTGTACTAGCTTTCAACTGATGATGCTTGTGTTGCAAGCGTGAACTTCGTAGCCGCTTGAAAGAGGCCGTAGATCATCGAAATTTCTACAGAATCTGTAAACTTATGCATAACCCGCCGTTTAGGGAGAGCTTTCCTCTAAAACTCAAGCCAACTACGTGGTAGCTGCCAGCAACCAGGCCGTTATATTCATTAGTTAGTTACAGCACAGCTTTGAATTTCACATTACTTATGCCATTGGAATTCAAGTTGTCTTGCCTTTAAATTGCCATAGTTCGTGTCTGTTACGTTAAAGTTAATGACGACTTCCGTTCCACTCCTTCGATGTATGAATGGGATTATCGCTTCTTTGGTCTGTTATGATCGCATCACGCGGTAGTAGAAATAAGTCTGTCCGATAATTGTTGATAGGATGGCTAATCATAAAACGCTCGCGGTGATGGTAAGTGAAAAAACAGGGCCCGGCTCTCCAGGGGGTGAGAGGCCCTGCGAGAGTGGAACACGAGGGCGAGAGGAGGTGATGCAGGGATGATCCGCAACGTAATACATTGATGTTGTCCATACAGAAGTGGCTGACAACGGAGGTTTGGCAGCCGCTTCTGATAGACACTGTCGGTGTTAGCGGCCACAACGATCAGTAAGAATACCGCTCACCGATGGAATCGATAAGCACCCAACCGACTACTGACTGACTTCGCTCCTGCACTTTTCCCTGTCGTCTCTGGCTTCTATCCTGTCTCATTGAGCGATCTGCGTCAAAGGAGCGGGAGACACGAAAGGCCACTGACTGTTACACGGATAGCGCGTGGCTGCTAGCACGCCAAGATCAGCTACGCTGGGAGGCGCTAACAACAATAACATCGGTGCAGCGTCAGACTCTTCGTGCTAAGCACTGTTTATCTATGCACGGGGATGGCCGAACTTTACCCCGATAGTAGGCACAAGCCAACTGACAACCTGGCCTTAACGATACCGAGAGCGAAAGTGCATATGTGTGTATGGGTTTTTTGTGCCAGCTGTATCTCGAATAAACTGCGAATTTTTTTCTTAACGGAAGCTACGTTGGACTACATTTACTCATGCATACTGATCATTCTTAATTCAACCTTGGTTGATTACAAGTCACCTTGTGTGATGGTCATTTCCTAAAAGTGACCCGTTTCTTAAATCGAGTGAACGTTTACTGCGCGGTTAGAACACTTAGCCCAAGCGTTGCCTCTTGCGGACGATAGTACTAAGTACTATGACTATATCGTAACTGGAAAAGGAATACACACAAATCAAAGTTGTCAGAAAACAGCCTTACAAGTCCAGTAGGTAAATTTCGATTATCGGCACGCATCGTGCGAACCTGCGGTCTCCAGACAGATAAATTTCCTTGAACTTCTCAGAACACAAACTGACTGAGTCTCCCCTGTGTCATCAACAATGTTGTCAGTAGCTACGGTAAATTTGAGTAGTCACCCGACCGGTAATGGGGAGTATGGATTCCGTTTACGTAGACGGGTTTACTAATTGTTCAATGCGTTTGTTGTTCTTATTCATTCCGCTTGTCATTTACCACTAATCAGACTCAATCTCCTGCCGCTGTTTGACCACTACGAGGAGTACGACCGCATGATTACGAACGGCCATCGCACCTACTACGAACATAACTATCCTCTTTGTCTGTAACTATTTCCAATAGGTGCACCTAGACTATTACATCACTGCGACAATCTCCAGGAAATCACCATCTGGTCGATTCAAACGGTTGTAGCAACTACGTCCAGTATAGTCTCGGTAATTCTTGCTATCGATGCGGCTACTAACTTCAGCAGATAAGCGGTTAGCATCAGACGGGCATATGGGACTACCCTCCATGTAAAACCTCCCACCTTTACATAAAATACGAAACATAGAGGTGGGACTAGCAGAAACGCATTAAAGACTTCACGTTTATAGGTCTATTCGTCAGTGTATGTGGATGATTTCCGGACACCGAAGTGGAGGAGGGAGGCAAAGAGACGCTCTGTTCTCCTTTGCGGCCGGCACAATCATCATGATCAGCGCCATCATAATCATCATCGCCATCGTCGTCATCAACGACATTACCATCATCGTCAAGCGCGGCTCGGGGCAAGGGCAAAAGCCCGACATTGTAGAGACGGTGGGGAAGTGGGGCCACTATTAAGAGACGAACGGTCCACAGCGTAACTACCATTACAAGTACAACCACTGGACTAAAACGCGAATGTGCCGTCAAAAGGAAGCGACAGTAGCAGAAAAAGATAGCAGTCAGCTTAGTCGTATCGACGCGAATGAATCTCCGGCGCAGTCGGAAAAAGGTTTTATGAGTCTGGAAATTATTTCCAGCTCGTGCTCATCTCTGATCAGTGCTACTAGATAGAAGAGGCATAAGGTGAGGCAAAAGAAGTAGAAGGGCAAAGTGATCAAAAAGTGACTGCTAAGAAAAATGGAGGAACGCCGGCAATAGGCTCGAGCGATGATAGGCTTCTATTAAATGCTAATCAGCAGATGACGCAGTGCAGTAACTGAGGTTCGTGATGGCATAAACATTCGTGAACGCCAACGACTTGAAGGGTTTTATGATCGATTAGAAGAAGCAGGTTGATGAATATCTATATGACGCCACCCATTTTACTATAAAAAAAAACTGCGGTTTAGATCATAGACATTGAGGAGTTTGGCGGTCTCTCCTATGGCGCACGTCTGATGTTAGCTGCCGCTGCTGTTCTGGCTACATGCCCTAGCTGAAAGCCAGGCACTTGACTCAGCCTAGACTGATAACAGGTTAACAGGCGAGATCTTAGCCTAAGTTGGCTTTTCGGCGCTCGCTTCGCCCCTCAATTCACCGCTGAAAGATAGGGCTAGTCCAAATATATTGCCTTCGGTGTGCTTCTGCAGCAGCGAATTGTTTGCAATGTCGTTTCGATAAAACGAAAACGTTCAATGGATTCTTAGTATATCGTCTTCGTTCGTCAGCCTACATCGACCATGCACGCTGTCGGATTGTTTGTGTTTCAGAGGCATAAATAGTTCCGGAATGGTGTACTGCTATTGGCGTACAATGCTGGTCGTACGATTTTCAAGGATCCGTTGCGAATTATTGCGTCTCCCCGTAAACTGAGTAAGTTCCCGGATGAGACCCTCGGCGAAAATCGATCTTGCACCTGCGCTTTTGCTGCTTATAATGTGAGTTACAGATAAAACATATTGCATACACACTTAAATGCATAAAGAGTTACTATTCAATAGCTCCTGTTGATGCTTCAACATTATTTTGGATCTACAAATCTGCGATATTTACTATGACCTCAAAGAGCCAATTCTGGCTAAATGACTCTTCCCGTTGACCGACCTAATCGTTTTCGATTTTTTTCGGTGTCACGAGGAGCTTCTTGTCTTCAGAATTGCACTTGATGAAAGTTCAGTCTTGTGCTTAATCAAAGCTAAATTCATGTTCGATTAAGAGGATCACACTCGTAGCCCTTTGTGTAGCCTAGGTACACAGTGTGTGCCATTTTTAACCGGTAAATGCCGTTAAAATCTACAAAATTCCTACTACAATAAGCAAATTGTTTTCATAATTACAAAGTATTTTTGTTACTCTTATCATTCACTCGTAGAAATTGTTCAGACCGCGTCCTATTGGTGCGTTAGATACTAAAGGTTCTGTATAATTATAATGCGGCATACGTCAAAGTGCGACCCGATATGAGACTGCAACCCTTTGGTTAAATGAATAATTAATTGTACCAGCACTTCAAGCATATACGAAAGAGGACGGTCGAATAGAATGAGCCCGGCAGCCGTACGTATTTCAACGCTGGAAACAACACCGCAGAATAAATATAAAACAGAGTTCGTTAACGAAACGAGGGGCATTAGCAGCGGTTTCTAATTGCCTGACTGAACAAAATAACCCAACGATGTAACTAATTGGTTTGGAGACGACCACTGAAATGTTTTCGTGTTCGATTCTCAAAAGGAGCTGTTAGAAGCCCATTAAATAGTGGAAGAATCAGGTACTACTTGCGGTCGTCTTTGAATCTGTCTATTTGAATTGTGCTTCATTTCGGCAGCTTGAATCTTACCTCAGTTTGAGATCTTTATATATACGTATATGTAAAGCGGGACTTGAAAGTAGGTAGATAGAAGAAACAAAGAAGAAATGTTTAAAAGCGGCAGAGGCAGCAATAGTGAACTAGATAAATCAAAATAATAAGCCATCTGGAATTGAAGAAAATAATTAACCAGCTGTCAGACATTTGAATCACTCTTGAAACGGATCCAGTCAGGCGATCACGGGCGGAATTTTTATTTGTTTAGTTCTGGTAGTTTATCGCTGGCAAACAACTACGTTATTATACCAGCGCATTCGATGTAAACTAGTCTAACGTTGTTAAGAAACTTGCTAGATGATTGAAAATTATCGAAGTCTGCATCATGTGTAAAGGTCATACTTTCATGACTGAAGTTCAACTGCCCGTCTGGGGCAGTTGAATATCTATGAGTCATAATATAAACAGATAGATTTTCATATATACATGATTTATGTCGGTTGATTATTGAAAATATTCCTCCGATTTTTAACATTGACCTGTAGCTATGCTAGGCATCACTTTCTAATTACATCTAATCACTACATGAACTATCATTTGAAAGAGGACAAATTTTCCTGCATTGTTATCTGCACGTGCATGTCTGCATATATTCTATGGATACTTGACTACATTGTATACATTTTTTTTTAAATTACTTTGGCCGTTGGAACAGAGTTTTATGACTCAGAAGTAAAATCCTTTAAAGATGATCCATTAAGAACATGGAATGCCGCGTGAGATCTTTTAACTATTAAATAAGTTGTTAGATCTGTTGGTCGATTTAACTTATACTAGATGTATTTTTTTTGGTCTTCTATGCTGACCAAAAACCCCACAAACTAGATCTTCTGCCTTGTACCCCCACAGTGAGCAGGTCAATATCGCTGTCCGTAGATGTATTCAGTTGTATTGTGATACTGACGACATTTTCCCTGGCTTTTCGAATACCTACCTGAGATTATATGGGGCGCGTATTGCTCCCTTCTTTCTATACGCATGTGTTGCATGGGATCATGTCAAAATTACAGCTATGTAAACGTTTAAAAAAGTGCGATAAAGGTTCAGCCACAAGGTTTGAGCAGGTTACAACTTTTCGACAACTCTAATCGGTTATCTTATCATGATTATATAGTGACAGGGATGTCAGAGGGTCATGATCAGATTGAAAGTACCGCCACGATCCGAAAAAGTTTAGCAGATGTCCTATCTAGCTATCCGATGGTTAGCACATCGGGTCTTCGTGCCTATATAGTACACCCTGTGAACGTACTAAATACACAGTTTGTAGCGAACATGTTGAATCAAATATGTTTTACAGGAAGTGTCTATATAAAATACAAAAATGTGTTTGTCACGACGAAACAATAATTTTCCCAGGCGGATGAGTGTGCAGTTGCATGTATTTGTTTATTTGTTATTTGATGTATTTGTTGTTGTACATTAAATAAGAGCTATTTGACTCTACTAAATATTCGGCGAAAAAAAAAACACTGAATTAGTATTCGTCATAATCGCCGGCAGTTTCGGTCATATATATATATATATATGGTCATATATATTCGGGTATATGTAACTATATATATACTAATTATAAGTACAGGGACATCTCAGCTTGATCTCTATGTACGTGACCCTCGTATTCTTGTAAGCGTCCTTGATCGCGAATCGGAAGCAGCAGCGCCCCTCATTGAGAGGTGCTAAGCGTCGATTTACACTAACGTGCGCGAGCAAACAGTCTACGCACTTAAATACGCAGGTATTGACATTGGACGTGGCGCCATTTCGCCGTAATAACCGCCGTTGTGGCGTATTAGTTAAATACCGTCCGAACCCGAAACTTGTGACAGTTCTCACCTAACCAGGAGCCAAATGCCACTACTCTACTTCTTCGCTCATTGCACCGGCTATTTACTATATTTCCACCCAACACAAATACGAAGGTATACACAGCTGAATTTCTATCCCTCACCGTGACGATTTAGCTCCAACCATAGCCATGCATATTCGTAGAAAGAGAATACAGACGAAGGTGTGGCTGGCTTTCCAAATAGAGTGTAGCACTATTTGGCTTGAACCGCATCACAAGTGTAGCACGATAATCGGCTACGCCAAAGCAAGCCAATTAGCATGATGAGCCCCTATTTTCGCACACTACACAGAACGAGCGCAACGATGTCAATTATATTTCTAATGGTGTGGTGGCGGCGTTTTACTACCCTAGCCTGTTTCGGCCAACGGAAAAAGACACAGATATAAATAACGAATTAATACATTTTGATACATCCACTCCTTCGACGAGGAAAGGTCATACCTGCAATTATCGAAGCACTCAGCTTCTTTAATAGCTATTCTATGTGTTCACTGTTAGTGGACAACAGCCGCAATTTCTGTCACTTCAGAGAATATCGTTTCCTAATATGCGGCCATAAGGCATAATACTTTGTTCTCCTTGACTATGATTCTACGTCAAGATGTGATCTCCAGTACATAGAAACACTACTTAAGGAGCTTAAGACTTATTTGACCACCGCCATTGCTAATGTCCCTTTTAGTCAGCAATGGGCGCAAAGCAGCTTACGCCCACCCAAGTGAGTACTACTAACGTAGTGAATACTAACGTATGATGGGGAGCTACTGATATGATGTTCATACAAATCAGGCTCTAATCTGATCCGTAAAGATCTATTCTACGAAATTACTATCCCACTTGTAAGGTTAAGCTTTTGTCCTTAGGTGTTTAGGGCTGATACCCATACGTTTCGTAATATTGAGGCAATCCTGACATCGATGCTGGGTTCAGACCGACTTAGCTAAGTACGTTTTGGTTTCTCTGGCCGCGTAGAAGAGTCAGCTAGGAAATTCGTTTTTAATATTTTATGTAAAACATTATACTACGAGTCAGTGAAGAAAAATTACACCTACCATGTGACTATTACATTATTTCAAGAGAAGTCTGATACATTTACGCTCAGTAAACTTCAAGGCTGTGCTAGTATTTGCCTTCGTTTTTTATAAATAGCCCGTAAGGCACATGCTGACTCAGTTGAATTGTAGAACCGCTTGATTAAGCGCAAGCAGTTCCGCTTGGAACAGTTAATCCACACATGTATCTGTTCGGTTGTTTTTTTTAATGACACGGTTATTTGTAGCTCACCAAATTGAGCGCATTGTATTAGTGAGAAATCGACGCCTTCGCAATCGTAAGAGAACCGAAAAGCAAGCTAGGCTAGCACAATGTGGCGCGGCAAAGTTCTAAATTTCAAATTTATCTTTTAAAACGGCTCTTCCTATTTCTCAATGACGTTAGCCATTTTGGGAAAAACCGAAGTAAATTAATTATTTGAAGTTACCTAGCAGACATCTGTTATTTCTAATCTAATTGCCAACTAATCGACCGAAACGGCAAAGACGCTTACGCGAATCTTGTTTGCTTGACTGAAACAGCTTATCGTGCGCCCTATTGCTGCCTCTATTGAAGATCTACTTGTTACGTTATGAAGTGTGCCAAATTAATGGTTTTGTAGAACTGTTGTATCTTTAGTCGAATTCGCCCGGAGTAAACTAACGTATAAAAGGAACGTCCAACGTAAGGAACTATCCGGTCGATCTCGGATCTCGGTCTTTTGTCATCTAAAATACCCATTAGTAAAACGAACATCCATTCATACTGCCCAGTTAATAGCGAACGGTGAGCGGTATCGTCTGACATGGCACGAGAAGTCAGACTCGTATGCAGTGAATGATAGAGCGAGGAGAATCTACATGCATCAGGGAATATTCTTCTTACATACATGATCTATTTGTATTGTATTAGTATGCGTGATAGCCAAAACGAGTGAATCTTTAATTGCAAAGCAAAGGTTCACTCGTTTGCTCCACAGCATAGAGAGAGGGTAGGAGAAAACCTTACGGGGTAATGGATTGTGGTTAAGGAGGGCGTAGAGCATCACTTCAAATTGCTACATTATGGGAATCTAATAATGTTATGTTTGGTCATAGCCAATTTTAAGGAGACTGTTAAATAAAACGGGCAGAAACGTGTCTGGTAGTTGCGTGCACCGTTTATGGGTATCATCCCTGTTTTGCTTG